TTGCAGAAAATCAACAATTTTTTACCTACTTCAAATATTAACATCCATTTCAAAAGAACAACGTTTTCAGAAGGTTGGTCGAGATGAAAATGCTTTGAGAAAAGCATGTCATGCCATAAAACGTAGTTAATAAATCTTGAGAGCAACCCCCTCCCCTCTCCCCCTCCTTTCACCTTGCGGTCGCAAAACCTTGGCTCCAGAAAAGACGGACCTTTCTGGCAAATTAACATAAAAAAGCAAACATCTGATTAGTGCAAAAACTGTCTGACAGTCATTGATGTAATTATAGAATCTCGAACTGGAAATTTTTTCAAAAGGAGTCGTACTCCAAGAAGTTCGGATCCGGTACGTAACTGGATACGCTAACGTTTCACGCTTCCTTCTAGACGTTTTTCAGCTCTATTGAGCAGTTCGAAATCTTTACGTACAAGCTTTTTGCCCATCAAGTTTGCGAAACATTGGCATGATCACTGCCAAATTATTTCTCCTATCGATAGACGGAGCGTAGATAGCGCAGACGAGCGCGCTTACATACGTTTCCTATGCGCAATCGAACTAATCGACAGAACTGGATCTGTAGCATTAGCATGAATCAGAAATCCGCATTTGGTGGCGAGAGCGACAGATATAGTGCGCTTATGGGAATTTACACTGAGAATGCAGCCTATGTGAGAGAGTAGGGCGTTTTTGTACAGCTATACTGTTGTGATAATCTCAAGTACAAACTTTTGTTGTCTTAGGCCTCGGACAGAGTTCACGCGATTTAATCGTCGCGATTTCCATTCATTTTCATTTTACAATCAAAAATTTCGAGCTGGAAAAGTATCACAACCGAAATGCAAGGTGATCGGCATGCATTGAACTCGTAACAGTTGTCTTGTAGCGATTGAATCGCGACGATTAAATCGCGTGAACTCTGTCCGAGGCCTTAGCCGTCGCAAAGAAGATGTGAGTCCAGGGTTTTTCTAGGTAGAAAGTCCACCAGTCACTTCCGAATTCACCACGATTGAAGACAGTGTCCAGATTGATTATGTATATATTATATTTGCAGTTTCTAATATTTACTGAGAAGCCGTATCTAAAACATAGGCCAAGCCGCAAATAATTTCGTGGTAAAAATTGCAGTTCTTATCACCATTGCGAAATCCTTCTTGTTTGAGTATTCTGGTTGGCCCATTCGTTAATAGTACGGTATGGGCGAGAATGCAGAGTTGCAGAGTTTGATTTCTTGGCCTTATATCAATAGCTGCCACTTGGACAATGGCTCACTCAGGTCTCCCACCCAGCTCTGCAAAATAAGTTTAAATAGTTAGATAGATCAGCAAAAGTTTGAAGCAGAACATTCGTCAATATTTTGAGAATTTACGTCATCTTAGAGCTTTACCGTAAAAAGCGGAAATACCACCAGTACTGGTTTTCCTCCGAGAAATCAAATGAAGAAAGCTCTCAAATGTGATGTCATATTGTTAGCCAGAGCTGAATTTTCAGCGAAAGCTGCCCAAAATGTACATAAAGGTTTTTGAAGAGCAAACAAAACTCGTTTTTGAGAAAGTGCTCTGACAAGTTTTTATACAGTGAGATAAATTCTATTTATAAGTGGGTGATAGATAGTCGCGTTCTTTCGACCCTAGTTTATTTTAACCTTAGCCTTGCTCGTTCTAAGATGGCATTACTTCAATGCCCATCCGCAAGTTAGTTAAATAAAACAGCTGACTTAACGTGTTTATGCGCAGTAGTAAAAATGAAAAGTTCTCAATAGAGATTGAAAAATATCTATAAGAATTTTTGATCCGAAAAGCATTGCCCCTTTCCTCTCATGTGAGCAAGGAAAAGCGAAGCTCCCTCAACGATGCGGCCAAAAGCCGGCAAGTATTCTGCACTATAACCATACCTCATTCGAACGCTTTTTTACCGAGCGAATGAGAAGTGCAGAATTTTTGACTGGTTTTTTAGGGCAATGCTATCTCAATATGACCTTTTCACTTTTTTCTCCTTTTAGCAGGATAAAAGCTAATGGTAGTCATTGAGTTCGTTGATCCAGTCTCGCCATTCTAGTGGGTGAAAAAGTTACAATGTGTCCTAAAAAAGTGCACAATGTATGGTTGTTGATAGCTATCTTGTCTCAGAAACTTTAGCGATACTTTATATCCCGTTTTGAAAGGATATCTTTGACTGAGATTTACATAATGTGAGCCGATTGCTCTTCTTATCGAAGGACCTCGTTATAGACTTTCAGTTGCGAAACAGCTACCACCTCTTCAGAAGAATCTCGAAACGTTCGAAAACTTTTGCGTCGGGGAATTTGGACTTGCTAATGTCATTAATAACTTCTGTGATAGGTTTGTACAGCAGTTTAGATGAAATTAGATATTTTGTTAATTATTGGGACCCATTTTCGCGGTCCTTTTAATACCAACAAAAATCTACCTAATTATTCAATTGAACGCTGCACGCTTTCATAGCCTAACTATTATAGAAGAGAGCAGTTAGATGCAAAATCTGGATTCAGCAAATCTTTACTTGAAAAATTTGCAATATTCAAAACTCTTTTTGAGACATGATTTTGTCTTTGGCACACCAGCTTATGCAGAAGTTCTTACCGTAATGCTACGGTAATTAGGAGAGAACAATGCTTGAGGTTGTGCGGCCTGCGAATAATATTGGCAAGGCAAAAGAAATTACCGACTTTAGCTAAACAGAACATCTTCGCAGAGACCTATGTTTCTTCACTATATGCCTCTGATTGCACAGAGACAAACTATTCTTTGAATTTTATTTGATTGACTCATAAAAAATTTATAAGTGCAATGAACCATGCTCCCTTTATAACTTTTTTCACTACTTTTTCCCAAAAGCTGTCTTTTTCACTAGTAAGCATCATACAATGAGCATCATACAATCTAATTGCTAGTTCACAATATAAAAAAAAGAACAAGAAGGTTCCCACTGCTATAAAGCGCCATTATTGCTGAGTAATGCGAGAGATGATGACTCGAGAGAAAAAGAAGCCAGCAAGAACACTCTTCGGCTCTATTTAACTGCTTGCATTGACTTTGAAAAGCGTTCTTCATTGAATGAAGTAACTTGCAATCAAAAATAAGCCTCAAAACAATATCATCGAATCATATCAGTGACGAAAATGCCTTATATTACTGCAGAACAAGAAAGTTGCAAAGGCGATGACAACAAAATGGAATGTAAACTGCAGGGTTGGGTGTCGCAGCCGGGCAGTCATTGAAAAGAAACGGTGAATGGAAGGTATATGGAACGGAGGTGGAAGAAAACGAGAGCAATGGGTGCAAGGAAATTTGACACTCAAACACCTCGACACCCTTCGATCAACGTAATTGTTGGTATAGTTTTTAGGAGAACAAGTGGAGGCACAAAGTCAAACTATTCTGCGCCAATATTGCTCTATTTGCACGACCTAAAAACCATTAATGGAAAATTAAGAAAACTAGTCTTCTCTGCTCTTTGACTCCTTGAAAAATCAACAAACACATATTCTGATCAGAATTATCTATGAGCCTTCTAATTTCTTATATCCCTCAATCAGGCTACTGGCTACTAATCTATTGCTATTGTTGTGCGCTGATGCTTCAGTATCGGAAAATAGGCCCTCATCCTATCGAAACCTAGCGGGAATAGAGAGCAAAATAAACAAGAGGTAAGCACAAGTATGCCCCCAACACGTGATTCATCAACGTGTTTTTAGAGGCTGAGAAAATTCTATTCTTACGAAAACCGGATGCGAAGTCATCTACAGTTATCGATAATATCGATTAAAAGTTTTGAAACGCTGGAAAAACTACAAAAAGCTTCAGGTTTGAAACATATTAGAGATAGTAGAAAAAAGAGAAATTATTTTGATCCTTAAGTGTCGCACTAACAATTATGTATAGTTCAAAAATATTTCAACCTTTCAATTCAGATCAATATTTTTTTCAGTATAATGCAAATGTTCCATTTTACTACTAGTAATTTTGATCGAGACAAAACAAAAATGCCACTAATCCCGGAAAGCATAAATACTAGTCGACACATACGGTTAGCACAAAATCTTATCACATGAACAGAGTAGGTCGCAAAGCCATTTAGAAATAAGAATCAAAATTACAGATTTTCAAAATTAAACCTTGCGTTCTTTTTCACCAGTTCAATGCCGTCATGTCAACATTAGTATTAATAAAGTGAATAACACTAATCAAAAATTTTGGCTCATGGCTCTTGGACTTTAAAAAACCATGGAAGAGGTAATTTTCTAAAGGAAATCATGCATAAAATGTGTTGATACAGAAAGAAATAGAGTTCTTATGATTGACATCGTCCAGCAGGGCGGTTCAAGTTGCAGTAGAATGATTTTGGTGACTTCAAGTTACATAAAGATGGATGGAATTCTCTTGAGGTAAGCATGGAAGCCTTTACGATACTTAATAGAGAAATCGGAAGTTGATAACGATAAGATCTTTACATGAAATCTCCAGGTTAGCCGAGTTCTTTAGAAGTTTGATGCGATTTCAAATTCGTGAACTTGTCAGGTCACAGTATGTGAAAAATGGTCTTTGCCTCACCAGACCCTTACTCTTAATATAGCTATAAATAGTAACCAAGGGCCAGTATCAGCTTATAGAGGCAATGACAGTGTCGCAATCGTAATCTTTTTTTGAGAATTCCGCAAAAAATCTGGAAGAAGTAAATGTCGATTAGTCCGCTGATTGTAAGAAAGCGAGCGGGAAGTCATGCACTGAATATCGGAGGAGGCAAAGAGTCTAATATTTACCGTCGGATTAGGGAGAGGGTGGGGTTTCGGGTAGTTACAGGTGAGTTAAATACCTGCTACTTTTCCGTTAAACTATGTATTTAGTATGCAAAGAAATCGGAGGAGGGTGAACAAGGCTTCTTGTATGGTAAAAATTGTGACTCGAAAAAGAGAATGGAGATGACCCTTATTAAAGGAAAATATAGAAATAGTCGAGCAATAATTTGACAAAATTACTTACCCTTTTTGGCTTCCATATGCTTGCAAAATCCGCTGTCAGTATTCCTTTATAATCTGCAAATATGCGTAGTATTCGTTGCTAACGCTCTCGAGTAGTTCTCTCGACAAACTGTTGAGTCTCGAACGCAACGTGGTTCACAAAAAGTATCAAAGTTTGCGCATTCGATAGCACAATGCGTACGATTCATGCTGTTCAAACACATGTATTCAGTGCTTTGTACAGAGCAAACAGTCAGCTGCTTTTGCGGTAGAAATGCGGCTATTTGAGTTGCGCATTATGAGTTACTTCGGTTAGATAAACCAGTAGGATCGTGGGGGTTTATTCGCGAGAAAAAGCAAAAACATATTGGTACAGTGTCGGGGAGTGAATTCTTTACAGTGCACACAGATGAGTGGCACGATCGATGCGCTTACTATAATTACGCGAGGACGACAGAGCGCGGAAAATGGTACGGCAATTAGCGCCGGACATGGACCAGCGACACGAAGACGAACCGGGCAAAAAGCAAGGAAGAGCGATTGTTGGATCGCGCTCGAAGCCGGCTCTGCGACGACCCATCGCTGAGGCTCCCGCCACCCCCGCCTCTGTGACCGGTGTGTTCGGAGTTCGAGAAAGTGCACACGGGGGGCGAAGAGCTGCGCGGCGCGACGTTGCGCAGTTCCGCTCGCAGCATGCCGCTGATCGCGCTGACTTCGGAATCCGCGACGCAAACACGGCGCCATCGCGCCATCGCCACGTTGCTTTCTGCTACGGAGAACAACGCCTAAGCACGGCTTTACCGACGATGGCAAACAAATTTGTGCTCGCGGGTAAAGCTAAAATGTGAGCAGCTCCGGAGAGCAAAACGGAGGGAGCAGCGATAGTTGGACCAGTGAGTTCTCTGTGTATTCATACGAATCTGATCAAAAGTAAAAGTTGGTCTGGAGTCGGGTAAGTGTGTGGTCTCAAGCATGAATTCGCTTTGGTACAAGCTCATGCATATAGGTGAAAAGTGATCATCAATACCCCTTCATGTCCGAACGGATCTCATTTACGGATATGCCTCTTCTGGTTTCTTCTAGCCTTTTAGGTACTGAGCAAATTTTGTTAGATTCATCGTGTATATTAGGTTAGAAAGAAAGAATTGTTTTTTACAGCAAAGCAGCATGACGAACCCGAAAAGTATGTGAGGGATATCAGATAGAGCAAAACAAGCTCTACAAGCCTCTGAACATTGGCTTAGGTCGCGGTTTATGCAAAACTCAAAGCCCGAACATAAAAGAACTCTTGAAGGGATGTCAGGTAATTTAGAATCGCGTTTCGAGATAAGACACATATATTTGGAATCAGCTTCCAACGCTGATTTCAAATATGCTGTTCCTAGCTGCGGCACATCATTCTGAAGCGAGTTATCGGTTTCTTTCTGTGCGAAATTGCCATACTTTTCCATATGGTAAGACAGCCTGTAGATGGAAATCTGCCTAAACACGGTGCTAGAATGCTAAAATTACATCAGGTTGAGTCATTTGTGTAATTGACAGGAGACTTTATGCAGTCAATTAACACTTAGGTGATAATACCGTATTGCTAATAGGTCAAGAATATGCAAATTTTGCAGTGAAGAAAATAGATAACTCGCTTCAGAATGACGTGCCGCAGCTAGAAACAGCATATTTGGAATCAGCTTCTGAAGCTAATTCCAGATATATGTGTCTCATCTCGAAACGCGATTCTAAATTACCTGACATCCCTTTTTAGTGCCAGAAATCGACTTTCGCTTCAAAAAATCGTACAAACCTCTCACTTGCTCCTGCCTGCAAGGCACATGTACAAATCCAATATGCAATTGCTAGAGTTTTTCCGCAATTAGAAATCAAGAAAAATTGAAAACAAAATTAACTGACTCCGCCCCTAGTAGTCCTGGGACCCTCCCATTTGAGCAGTTGTATGCTACAAACCTTTGAGGCTTTGACCATAAAGTTTTGGATTTTGATATACTCTAATTCCTGAAAAATACCAGTTTTAGCTGAAAAACCCGAAAAAAGCGACATTCTTTTCTTTTCAACCTAACAGATTCACAGTCACATGGTTCAAAACAAGCTAAAGCTTTTTTCCTGACATAGCTTGTCTTACTAGCTTCCGTTGAGATCGGTTACCCTTCCTTCAATTCTGTGCCCATGTTCCTTTTCATTCCTTTTACTCACAAGAAGTTCCCAAATTACAACAACGTGACGTTAGTGATCGCACTGGAGTCCATTCTTTGTGCAATATCTATTCACGGTCCAGAAGACAGTTATCACATCGAGAACAGACCAGACTGTTGAAACTGTGGTGATTTCCAGTATGAGTTTCGCCTGTGAAGTTGGAAGTCCTTTGATGGAACAACGGGAAACCAGGAATCACGGTGTATGGCCAAACTATTGTACCTCTTTCTTAGAGTTTGTATTCTAAACGTTCAAACTATGCTTGGAAACTATTGGGAGGGGACTATAAGTCGGAGAAAGGCTCTATTCTGCACGGACAGCTTGCACAAACCTGTAATGGTTGTAGTATGCATGGGACATCTGGAACAGACCCCGTTGGTCCGGGGTCTGTTCCAGATGTCCGCGTGCAACCACCCCTTTCGACGGCATAAGTCCTATAAGAAGAATATATTTTGATTTCATTCAGGGAAAAAACTCAGTCTTTTCCCAATAATTTCCAGAATTCTGAGTACATCATCTATTATTGTGGAAACCTATACAAATTTCCTGATGCCATGATAAAGCTTTCCAAAACCGCTCTAAGGAGTTTTGGAAGTTTTTTAACAATAAGAAAGGTAGCTGGCTGGTAGTAAAGTCTGTGCTGAAAAGTCTGACCGAGTCTTCATGAAAAAGCGATCTATGACTTACTGTTTCCTCAACTTCAAATTAAAGACAGTTGGTTCTCTAAAACAACACCTGGATTCTGCAGATGAAAACTTTAAGGCAAGAAACTTACCAACAAACTATGAGTACATTTTTGTGAGACACCTTGTATTTAGTGGACATGGTATCGCTGAAGCAGGTGTATAGGTCCATGGAAGAATACATTTAGAAAAGTATGTGTTTCTTAAAAAACACACAAGACAACCAAAGACATAGTTGTGTCTTCATATTCCCTGCAGGTGCAGAAGTTATATGGACTGGAAAAGTGTCTTGCGCAGCTCGAAGTTTGCAGCTTCGCATCTATTATATTATGTCAAAAAGATTGCAGCTTTTGAGCTATTTTTGCAACAAGGAGCTGAACAAATTGAATCATCTTCATTTCTAGACACCAAAGCAAAATCACAATTATTATTGCTCATTTTACTTTGCATGAGTTGACAAGATACACATGCAATTTTAGTCTGGTCTTCTATAAATATTTTGTTGTTAAAGTTTTCCCATACTTAATCCTTTAATTAGGTATGTTAGGGCTCGGGCAGAGTTCACGCGATTTCAATCGTCGCAGTCCCCCAATAAGACAAACAGTTACGAGTCCATTGCATGACGATCAGCTTATTTCGGTTATGATAGTTAGTCACGATTGGTCGTGTCGCAGAACTATCACAACCGAAATGCGAGATGATTGGCATGCAATAGACTCGTATCTGTTTGTCTCGTAACTGTTTGTCTTGTTGGGAAAATCGCGGCGATTGAAGTCGCGTGAACCCTGCCCGAGGCCTTATACACTTAAAGGCAGTGTCTCACCAAAGTTGAGGTCGCGCGGAATTTCACATATTCTATTATAGGGACCTCTAAATAGGCCACTGCAACAGTTTTTCACTCAATTTGACCCCCTCCACGCTGAGAAAAATTCGCTCAAAGTGGTACGCGGAGAGCGACTTGGTACGCGCGGACGACTCCTTCGGTCTCCCCCCTTACGCGTTTGAACATGTTCATCCACTTGGCATCCACCTCCCCTGTTTGCTGCCACTGTGGCTGAGGCTGGAAGTTGGATGGTACAACTCGTCCACGTTGCTTCCGCGGGGCTTCCAGAAAACGGGGTTTTTGGAAACTTCGTGCGATTTCAGGCCCATACAGTGCTAGACAGAGTCCGACAGGCTTGCAAAATGCAACTCGGCAACTAAAATATGGTGAGACACTGCCTTTAAAGATGCGCTACGCGAGGCAAGTAGAATGCGTTGGTAATGCTAAGCGTAAGCAAAGTTTTTAAGAGTCAGTGAATGTATTTTGCAAAGAATGGTCAAGTTGATCTTCTCGGGCCATTCAATCAAAATTCTTTCCTCATATCCGAACCAACTTCTGTACTTGGTACCAAGAATTGAGAGAACAACTTGATCCTAGATATAGCTTGGCAAAATCAAGGATGACGTCATAAAGGTCAGCTTTTGATATTTATAATACCATCATGGGTTAGGAATTGAAGGCATAAATCGTAACATTTCCGGGGATTGATTTTTTTGATCGGACGGAAATTCTTACACAAATTATCAATAGCTTACAGACAGTTGTTTCATTTTGTCTAGTTCCGGTCTACATCCTTTATTTCGTTTTTCTCTTTCATGCAGTGTGATAAATGTAGGGAATACACAAACATGAAAATAATGTATCATGCCTTTCATCGAAGATTTTCATATATAATACTTCTTCATATTTATTTCAAAATTGCACACAACCTTGCAATTTTTTGACGTCATTGGCAAGATTCCAAATGCAGTCGCAGGGTCCAAGGATCTCTTTAGCCAAGCTCTGAGTTATGCCGTCGAGAAAAGCGGCAACTGCTCGTTTCGCTTGGTCATTATCGTTTACTTCTTTCGCTTTGGTCTCTGGATTCTTTAATGGCTCCCAGGACGAAGGGTTGCGTTTCGTTGGCAGCTGTTCGAGCGGTGTTCTGACACCAATAGGCTCTGGTATCTGCCGAAGATCAATATTGATGGCCAATCTTCCTCTTACATCCACTCTCTTTTGATATCCTATTAAATTTTATTCATATTTAATCCCTTATTTTTCAATGAATTATCGTCTCCATTTAGGGATGTTGTCCTATGCACTAGTTGTTCCCATAATTTTTCTGGCGCTAGAAGCAAGTGCTTCAGAGGACTGGCAACCCATCGGCTACAAAGATTGCAGTTGGTTTTATTTGAGATCTGGGATACATTTTTAAAAGCCTTGTTAAAATGTTTGTGATGAGAATCTTCCAGAGTCCAGATTCAACATTTTGGACGTTCAAGCAGCCGGCTGTTACCTGAAAGATACACCAAGTGGGAAGAAGCTGTGTGAATTTAAAGAAGGATCTACTCCCAGAATTAGGATCAAGTTTATTCCAGGTTGGAAAATTATATTTTTGTCTATATTTACCTCCTTTAACGGTGCTCCCTTTCTAGATGAGACTGTAGAGAAGCTGAAAACGCAGATTAAAGCCAAAATTGGTCAGACATTCCTTGAGTTCCCTATGGCCGATGCAGACGCTTGCACTTACGGTATCTAATTTACTCATGAAATATTTTCTAGATTTTCCATGAAGTTTTTTCAGGAGTATCGTGCCCAGTAGAAGCTGGAAAAGAGTATGTTTACGAAAAGGGAATTGAGATCATCCACAACTATCCAAAGGTAATCATTCTTGTCTTCCTGGTATGAAAGATTCATGCTCCTGATCATGTTGTTGGTTTTAAGGACGAAACCGTGCAAGTGAACTGGATGGTAAAGGATGATAAGAACGACACGAAAGGCGTGTGCATCATTTTTTTGGCTCGAATAATCGCGTAGCTTGTCTATGTTTGGTTTCAATGCTAATAAATCTCTGGTATGTTCATAATTTATTGTTTGAATTTGAGTAGAATCAACTGTAAGTACGCAGGAGAGGTTTGCTAGAGCTTTATAAAAAGCTGGGGAATGACCTTGCGGTTTGATTTCTTTTTTTGAAATTTACATATGCAATTTAGCAAAGTCAAGTGAAGTTTCTGTGAACAGGCAAAACTGCAAAGCGTTATGGGCTGCTTTGCTTAACGGTAATCCTTAAAAAGAACCCCTGCTACTTCATCAAGGTTGAATTTTATATATTTCTGTGACGGCTAGAAAAGAACTTGAAAGCATTTCCTACCAATCAATCTTCTAATTAAGATTTCAAAAAAGAAAACTAAAGGAGCGCAGTTGCATGCCTAGTCGTTATCATTTTTCAGTTTTATGTAATTGATACCTAGAATAATGGCTCCTCAAAGTTGATATTAGGTTCGCCTCCGTTCATCTCGTGCATCATTTTTCTGAAGCAAAATTCCTAGTAAAGCACGCGACCGGCAAGCAGAGACGTCTGAAATAACAAATCTCTTGGTGAAGATTGTCTATAATAGATAAGGACAAAGAAATTACCAATTTTGCTTTTTGTCACAAAGAATTGCTTCTCAAAATGGAACTGAATTCAAGAACTGCTTCTTAAATCTCAAGAGTAAACCATGTACTTCGCATAGGTCTTTGCAGTTTTCTAGTAACGACGAGCCACAATTGCAGGCATGGATATGATAAGGTTTACTCTATTTCCGGACTTTTAGAATTTGGCGGCAAATCCCGAAACTTTGCAGGAAATGAAAAAGCTGACAAGGGAAGGACCTCGGTTGAAGTGGAGTTCCCACACGTGATGCATATCATTTTGCTTGTCTTTTGGCATTAATATCAAATCCGTGTTAATTAGCTGCTCAGTGATCTTCTGGGAAAAGTTACGAGCGGTGGTTTCCCCAGGATGACCACGGATCGCTTAAGTTAGCGGCGCCGAGAAAGGTCAGTTGTGGAGGGATGGCTTGGTGCATAGCTGCGGAGACTATAGGGGAAGTGATAGAAAATTCGGAATACTTATGTTGCAAACATTACTGCATTTTTGCAAATTAACGGGTGCAGGGTGTTTCTCCGCCCTAGGGCCCTCTAAGAATACATATCAAACAATACAATCTACGAAATGGAGAAGTTTTTGAAACATAAGTATTCCGAACTTTTTACCGCTTTCTCCATAGTCTTCACCGTTATCCACCCAGCCATCCTTCCACAACTGACATTTCTCGGCGCTGCTAACTCAACCAATCCGTGGTCATCTTGGGGAAATCATCGCTCGTGACTATTCCCAGAAGATCATTGAGCAGCTAAAAAACACGGATTTGTTATTAGTGCCTCAAGACCAGGACAACGATATGCATCACGTGTGGAAACCCCAGGGTCCTTCCCTTGTGAGAATTTTTGTGCTAAGTGCCTGAAAGTTGCTAAGGTCCTTTCCAAAGTATGAAGTTTACCCAATCTAACAAAATTAATCCATATTTATCAGAATAACGAGAGGCTACAAATTTCCAGGAACCGAAACGGAATTTTTTGGGTCAGCATTACTTTTGCTGGCTGGTGGCTGTCGCTTACACTTTCTTCATAACGCATATATCACCAGAAGTGCTGTTGAAATTGTGCATGCTCGCATACTATACGAACATTTCCGACACTGAGAAGGACCTCGAAAGCGAAAACTCTCTATATAGACCATCATACACTACATTCCCGCCAGAAGAGGTACTGCATTTAAGGGAGCTTCCATCTGGAAATTTCTTCTGTTGTCTATCCCTCTCTTAGATTCGTTGTGCTCTATAACAAATGACGGACAAAATAGGGCTTGATCTGTATTCCATGGTTCTGTATGCTCCCTAAGGCCCCGGACAGACTTCACGCGATTTGATAGTCGCGACTCAATCGCCGACATTTCCATTCATTTTCATTTCACATTCAAAAAGTACTGCTGCAAAAGTATCACAACCGAAATGCAAGTTAAGTGAATGAATCAAGGTGAACGAAAGGAAGCTCTATATCGCGACTAGCTAGGACCTTTGCTCAGCGAATTTTTCGTACTTTCTCTCATAAATTGTATCTTCACTGTGAGTTTTCATGCAGAGGAAAAACGGTTTTACAACCTTTTCTTTGAGCTACCTCAAATCTAAAAATTTTGCAATGGCTTCGTAATATGCTGAGGTCACAAAGCTCGCCCCTAAGCAAACTGACGCGCGAATCATTCATTTTCCATGCCACTCGATGTATATATATATATGTGTCGCGTCTCGCAATGCAAGGCGCTCCTCGAAGTACGGAGGCCGCGGGCATCGGTTACCGCGCTATCCGGCGACGATTACGGTAGCCGAGACGCGCGTTGCCGCGATCGTCTCCGGACCTCTCCTTAATTGGCTCGTTGCCAGCCAGGCGGCTATATAAAGCGGCGGCGCCTCATTTGGGTGTCTTGTTCGCCTTCGTCTTATTGATTGATTATGAATATCTTGTTCGAATTACGTTTCAGCCGCCTTGCTCCTGCCCTTTTTTCGTAAGAGCAGTTGAGCCGAAAGTTCTTTGGATTGGAAAGTCTCTTTGTTAGCGCATTCAGACGCGCCTAGTACTAACCGGGAATCGTCTACAGGAGCTGGAGGGGACGTGCCGTCGTCTTAGACCTTGGCGTTGCGCGGTGGATTTGTTGCCGAAACCTCGGGAGCCACACGTATTTTAGATTACTTCCTCAGACGCGCATCGGTAGCATGGGACGGGCCCTCGTTACGTGTTTCTTAGTAGTAGCAGTAGTAGTTTGTCTTTAGTTAGTATTCTTTTTGTCTATTTTAACTATAGTTCAGTGTCATAAGGATAAATCACTTGAATTATCTCATGTTCCTTTGGTCGCGCGTTAGTGCGCAGTGGACTAGGTACGTCGCTTAGTATCGGGCGAGCATCAGGCCTCGGGTTACATTTAGGTGCAAGAGATTACCGAGTCGCTACAATATTCTTATCTTCGTCTTTTCCTTCCTTTTTTTGTAGCTCTATTGACTCATTCTCATTCGAAGGGCGGGAGGACGGCGAAGTGGAGGGATAGAGGGAGGGAATGTAGCGGATGAGAGAGAAGGGGAGGCAAAGGTTTTTGCTTCTTTTTCTTCGTTTTCGACTTCTTGGTCTTCATTGTAAATTAGGCCACACACGAATAAAGGCAGAAAGCAAAATAGGGGTTAGTTTAAAGTCCAAAAATTCCAAACTTGACTTCGTAACATCTTGTAAATTCACGTGGGACTCGTTTCATGAACCAGGCTCGGCACGAGGTGTTTTTTTGGAAAATGCAGAGAACGAACTCCCGCTTGACTTTTTGGATTTTTTGCGAAATCCCTTTGACCCTAAACCCTAAACAAAAAAAAACCCAACGTCGACTGAGAAATGTCGTCTTTTCGGCCTCAAAAACGGTACGCTTTTGCTTTTTGTCCCAAAAACGATATCCAGCTTGCTTGCAAGTCACGCGCCGAGCCCTGTCACAGACTCCTCGGTTCAGCTCGTGCCGAGCCTTGCTCAGATTCTATCACCCTGCTATTCTTACGGTGTTCTATCATACTATCCGCACCCATTCTTTCAAAGGTTCTCCTAACATACTTTTATCTAAAGTTTTCTTCTTTCAATGAGACTGTCCACCTGGCACGTGTCAGGAGAAAAGTCAACATTTTGATTTAATTTGCCATGCTTTTTAAAAATCATTGCCAAAAACATACTTACAAGGAATGGTCAGAAATCGAAGTGGCCATTCCAGACAAGCTGAGTAGCATTAGATGCAGCATGAAGCGCTGACTCTAATTCTGTCTTCTTTATCTGCTTATCGCTTTTCTGGACGAATTTATAAGCCATGAAAGACCATTATTTCGCTTAGAAATCATGCGTGAAATTGAAAATTTAGCCCTACAGAGCCTCGTTCGCCTCAATGCTGGGCCAAAACATGCAGCTAGCTTACTTAAAATTTTTGAAGCCAGAAGCCGAGCTAAAAGTGCAACAATGTGCTCAATTTCGCTGTTTTTATGTATGATTTTTTCACAATAAAACCGCTTGTAGCTTCGTCCACAGAAGCGGGAAGCAGATAAGGAAGACAGATTCGAAGTCAGCGTTTTATACTGCATCGAATGATATACAGCTTGTTTGGTTTGGCCACTTCGACTTCTGACCATTCCCTTGTTAAAGTATTTGAGATGACTCAAAAGCCGTTACACTGCTTTTGTAGTAGCAAAACAGTCCAGACGCTATCAAGCTGTGACTCTTCTTTTCTAAACGATCCTAAATAATGGCTGCACTGACTCAACCTTTGTTTCCCCCTTAGTGATGGAACTATTGCTTCATTATGTTCTAGGCAATGAATATATCCTTCTAAAATTATAATTTCACTCCCTGGCCAGCCTTCCCCCCCCCTTCCCCCTCCCCCGTCCTTTTCAGTACATGTGGTAGATGTTACCATGCCGTATCTCGGTACTGAAACTTCTACCTGTCGCAGTCCTAACTTTATATGCCAATACCCTGCCCCCACTGTGTTTTCATAATCACATGCTCACTTCCCCCCTAAAAACTCTCAGCCCCATTGCTCAAACTTTGCGAAAATCGATGAAGTCGATAAAAGTAAGACATAATTTTGAACTTTAATTTTGTATTTAAAATCAGCATGCTCGCTTACGCTCCTGTGCCACTTCTCAGCCCGGTAACCCAAACTTGCAAAAATCGATACGATAAAGGTAATCGGTAATTTTGAATTATGACTTGTATTCATAATCAGTATGCCCATTTATCTCCCTCCCCCGTCCAAATCCCAGTCACGTAGCCCAAACTTTGCAAAAAATTGATAAAACTGATATTGATCGATGACAGAAAGTAGCCCCCGAGACCCCCCCTCGCTCCGAAGTCTATCTGTGCTTAGTTTGGTCGGTACTAATTCAGAAATGAAATTTTTATTCGAAACATTCGGAACGCACAACAAACAAACACACATTCTTCGTATATATGAACATAACAATAATGTTTTTTTTT